CAATCAATTCCTGATCAAAACCACAAATGCCCATGCAACAAGAGAAAATCCTCTGCAAAGCAAAATAAAACATCAACAGAGCAAGGAGACAGCCCATAGAGTGGAAAAAAATTATTTGCCAACTCTATATCTGACAAAGGTCTAACATCCAGTATCTACAAAGAACTCAAACAGTATCTACAAAGAACTCAAACATGCTGAAAGAAAAAAAAAAAAGCCCTATTAAAAAGTGAGCAAAAGATATTAATAGACACTTCTCAAAAGAAGACATACAAACAGCCAACAGATACATGAAAAAATGCTCAGCCTCACTAATCATCAAAGAAATGCAAATTAAAATCACACTGAGATACCACCTAACTCCAGTCAGAATGGCCATCATCAATAACTTGCAAAACAACAGATACTGGAGAGGATACAGGGAAAAGGGAATGGTTCAACACGGTTGGTGGAAATGTAAACTAGTACAACCTCTGTGGAAAGCCGTGTGGTGATTCCTAAAAGATCTACAAATCGACCTTCTATACACCCCAGCACATCTCCTTCTGGGAACACACCTGGAGGAACTCAAATCATTCTATGAGAAAGATACCTGCACACACGTTTATTGCAGCATTATAGCAAAACCATGGAACCAACAATGCTACCCATTGAAAGTGGACTAGATTTTTAAAATGTGGTACATATACACAGTGGAATAATGTGCAGCCATAAAGAAGGACAAAACTATGAACTTCACAGCAACTTGAATGAATTTAGAGTCTATCATACTCAGTGATCTATTACAGAAACAAAGAACTGAGTACCATATGTTATCACTCACAAGCAGACCCTAAACATTTACCATAATACTATAACAAAGGGACTGGCAGTAGCGGGAAACTGCCAGGGGATGAAGGAGGGAGCACATAATATCAATAAGGGTACCTGATCTCAAACCAAGCAAAGCCCAAACTTTACCTGTATGATGACCACTTATGCCTCTATCCTGCATTGCACCCCACATCTTTAAAATTTAAAAAAGGAAAAAAATGTGTTAAAAATGTTATATGACTGTTCTGATTGTTTCAACTTTGTTGAATTGGGTAGTTAACAGTTTTTTGAGGAATTGGTCCACTGCTTATAAGTTATCAAATTTGTTAATATACAGTTATTTTCCATTATTCCCTCATTCTTTTTAATAGCTATAAGATCTCTGGTTATATATTCTGTTTTATTCCTGTTATTGATTATTCAAGCCTTCTTTTTTTAATCTTTGTCATTCTTGCTAGAGTGTTATTAACTTCATTTTTTCAAAGAACCAGCTTTTTGTTTCATGGATTGTCTTTACTGTTCTCCTGGTTTCACTTGTATTAATTTATGCTCTCATCTTTATTTTTGCTTTTCTTATGTTTGGCTTGTACTTATTTTGCTCTTCTTTTTCTATTTTCTTGAGGCAGAAATTTAGGTAATTGATTTGAGATCTTTCCTCTTTTCCAAAGTAAGTATTTAGTGTTAATAACTTTCCTCTTAGCATTGTTTTATCTGCAGCCCAGATACCTTGATGTTTTATGTTTTCATGTTAACTTGTTTTTATATAATTTTTAAGTTCCTTTAAGGTTTCCTATTTAACCTGTTGATTATTTAGAAATGTGTTACTTAATTTCCAAGTATTTAGAGATATCTCCCTTGTCTTTCTGTTATGGATTTCTAGTTTCATTTTATTATGCTCAGAAAACATATTCTGTATCATTTAAATTATTTTAAATGTGCTGAGGTTCATTTTATGGCCCAGGATATAGCCTATCTTGGTGAATGTTCCACAAGTGCTTGAAAAACCTGTGTGTTCTGCTCTTGTTGGATGGAATGTTATTTATATGTTCATTAAATCCTGTTGCTTGATTATGTTGTTCAGTTCTTCCATATCCTTTCTGTTTTCTGTCTCGTAGTTCTGTCAACAGCTGAGAGTGATGTGTTGAAGTCTCTGGCTGTAATTGTTGATTTGTTTTTTAATTTCTATCAGGTTTATCCCCCAGTACTTCACAGTCTCATGTTGTACGGTTTCCTTATTAATATACATAAATTTGTGATATATTTCATCAGAGTCTAGTGGTATTGATGTTTGACCACTTTGAGTTATGTATGAAAACCTTACATCTGTTTAGAGATCTTTGCCCTCCTTACTTTTAAAATATAATTGTCTGAAGTATTCCTCTACAAACATTGAGCAATACAATTATTTCCTTCTGATAATGCAAATGCTAGCTCTTTTGTTATTGTTCCTCAGACCCCTGTGATTCTGTTCATTTTTTTTCTTCTCTGTTGCTCAGATTGGGTAAATTATATTGCTCTGAGAATGATTCTATTCTCTGTCATATCCACCCTATTATTGGGGCTATACTGCAAGTTTTATTTCAGTTATTGTATTTTTCAATCCTGCTATTTGTATGTAGTCCCTTTTCTTTTCTTTTCTTTTCTTTTTTTTTTTGAGTTGGAGTCTCACTCTGTTGCCCAAACTGGAGTGCAGTGGCCGCTCCCGGCCACCGCAGCCTCGATCTGCTGGGCTCCAGCAATCCTTCCGCCTCAGCCTTCCAAGTAGCTGGAATTACAGGCATGTGCTACCACGCCCAGCTGATTTTTTGATTTATTGTAGAGATGAGGTCTCTCTGCCCAGGCGGGTCTCGAACCCGCGGGCTCAGGCAATCCACTCACCTCAGCCTCCCAAAGGCACGGGATTATAGGCTGAGCCACTGAGCCTGGCTTATGTAGTCCCTTTTTATGTCTTCTATTTCATTGCTGATATTTTTCTTTTGAAAAAAAAAAAACTGTTTCAAAAGTATTTGTAATTACCTTGAAGCACTCTGATGATGGGTTCTTTAAAATTCTTGTCAGATAATTCCAACATCTGATTCTTCTTGTTATTCACGTCTATTTGTTTTATCATTTAAGCTGTGATTTGCTTGTTCTTTTATGACAATTGATTTTTTTCTATTGCATCCAATGTATTTGGATATTATATTATCAGATTATTTAATCTTGGAGTGTAGAAAAAGTGTTCCACACCTCATTGCTGAATATCACTTACAGTCACCTTCAAAGTAGTCCTCTTGGGAAGCTATGCACCAACACCATACTGAGTCCACCTGTCAAAGCATTTTTGGAACTCTTTTTCTGGAATGGCCATCAAAGCTGTTGTCATGAGAATGTTAGAGTTCGAATTCGAGCAACTAATAAACATCAAATTTCTTCTTAAACTTGGCAAGAGTGGAAGCGAAATCAGGGACATGTTAATCCAAGCTTATGGGGATAATGCCATGAAGAAAACAGCAGTGTACAAATGGATTAAATGTTTTTCTGAGGGGAGAGAAAGTGTCACTGATGAAGAGAGGTCAGGACGACCAGTAACAAACAGAACTGATGAAGTTATTGCAAAAATTCATCAAATTGCACATCAAAATCATTGGCTGACTATGAGAAGCATAGCAGACCAAATAAACATCAATAGAGCAACAGGAAAATTTTAACTGAAAATCTTGGCATGAGGAAGGTGTGTGCAAAAATAGTCCCAAAGGATCTCTTGCATCATGACAATACCCAGTTCACACAGCACTGTCTGTGAGTGAGTTTTTAGCCAGTAAACAAAAAATAACCATATTGGAACACCCTTACCTACCTGATCTGGCCCCAAGTGACTTTTTTCTTTACCAAAAGATGAAGGAAATATTGAAAGGAAGACATTTTGATGACATTCAGGACATCAAGGTAATCCAATGACAGCTCTGATGGCCATTCCAGAAAAAGAGTTCCCAAATTGCTTTGACAAGTGGACTAGGCACTGATGTCGGTGCATAGCTTCCCAAGGGGAGTACTTCAAAGGTGACCATAGTGATGTTCAGCAATGAGGTATGTAGCACTTTTTTAGGATGAGTTCGTGAACTTTGTCAGACCTTGTACTCAAGGTGAGGATCCTAAATAGCCTAACTTGATCCTTACACATTCTATGCATGTAACAAAATATCACATGTACCTCATCCATATGTAAAAATATTATATATATATAATATCAATAAACAAACAAAACACTGTGTTGCAGTTGCCTACAGTATTCAGTACTGTAACACACTTCACAGGTTTGTAACCTAGGAACAATAGGCTCTACCTATTGTGTGTGTAGTAGGCTATGCCATCTAGGTCTGTGCAAGTGTACTCTACGATGCTCACACAACTACAAAATCACCCAACAATGCATTTCTTAGAACATGTATCATTCCTACTTACCATAAGTTTTTGATTTTTTTGTTATAAGCAAAACTCTTTGGAAGTACAATTTTAAAAGCTATATAATTTCCCCACTGAGTGGCCAGAACATGATTTATGCAGTATCATCATTTTCCTATTGTTGAAGATTTAGATTCCAGCATTATTGCTATAATAAATAATGCACTGGGGAAAATGCTTGTACCTTAACATTTTCTGTATTTCAGATGATTTCCTTAGAATAGAGTCTCGGAAGTAGAATCACACACAGTTCATTGGCAACATGCAAGGTATTCCTAGTGTCTTCACCCTCATGGGGACTTCAACACACTTTTAAATATGAGCCAATTTGATAGAGAAAATAAAACAGTATGGAAGTATGTTCTAATATGCTTCCATTTGATTGTTGGTAAGGCTGATCAGTTGCCCTCTTATTGTAAGTTAGCTTTTGATGTTTTTTGCCAATTCACCTTCTGGGGTCTTACACACACTTGCAGAATAGCCTACTCAGTAGAAAAATCTTGTTCAATATGTACAAGTAGTTTTCTTAAACTAAAAAGATGTAATTCAACATCAAAGATCAGCTAAGAGAAAAATAATTTAATCCCCTTTTCAGCTACTACATATATCAAGTGCCAAATGGAAAGCACCTGCCAATTAAATAAAGCCATCCGATATTGATAAAATGTATGAGACACTTCAGATTTCTGAATAACTCTTTATCTTCAAAATTATGCTGCTAAAAAAAAATTCCTGAAACTTACCTGAAGCATCACAACGTTGTCACCTTCAAAAGTTACAAACACATCTGTATCGCACTTTAAGCCCGAGATTCGGTTTTCCATCATGTAACCCTAATGCAGAAAAAAAAAAGAAAAAAAAAACCCACATATTTTAAAATTGAATTCCATCATTATACAGGACTAATATTTTCTCTGAGATGAAAAAATATACAGAAAATTGAAAAGAAGAAAATAACCACATTTCTCCTACCCGAATAACCAACATAGAATTCTGATAACCACCATTAACTTTTGTTCCATAAATATTATTTTTACAACTAGTGAAGGTCCTATTTTGAAATACAGTCACATTCTGGGGAACTGCGGTTAAGGACTTTGACATATACATTTTGGGAGACTTCAAGTTAGCCAATAACACACACACACACACACACACACACACACACACACACACACACACACTCCCTGTAAATTCTTTTTTAGTCCTCTCCAAAGCAAATTTTTGGTCTTACTTTGAGATATACCAAGGGCCAAATGATCAGGTCTGGCACTGAAGAGATTCCCAACAGAGACACGCAGGGCAAGAGAGTCCCCCCACCCCCAAGAAGGGGCTTCAGTAACCACGTGTCAATCCTGGAAGACCTCGTAGCTAACACAAGAGCCAGAGTCGTCCATAACGTTGCCTCCACGTTGTTGCCTTCACTAGTGTAGCAAACAAAGTTTGAAAACAGTCATGTCATATTTCTTCCATAATGTTTCAATATAGTATACTGATTTTTTTCCCTCTTTTTTCCCAAATCGTATGAATTCTAATGAATGTTAAGGTATTAGTGAGTATATTTTACCATACACAGCTGAATGATACCTTCCACCATCCCGACAACCCTTCTGAAACTTAGCAAGTATACTCCAAAAATTCTTGGGAGGCAACACAAAAATCTAAAATTGCAAACTCTGCATCTTAATATCATTAAATACTCTGCAGCATAAATTCATACTCAGCTACTTCTTCCTTTTTTTTTTAACTTCCTAAATCTTATGTAAATGGCAGTAGGCTGCTGTTCATTTCCAATGTCCTGACAGTTTTACTGCACACAAGTTGGAGAATTCGCCGCACAAGAGAAAGTGGGTTCAGCCCCAAGCAGAACGTGAAGGAAGCAAAGCTTGTCTTTGTTTGGCCCCAGATCCTTCCCCTCCTGAAGGCCTCTGCACCCCTCTTCTTCTTCCAATCCATTGTTAGCCCTATGAAATCTCCAGTCTTTCCCACTGTCCAAATCCACTTCCACAAGTCACTCCTGCCTAAGTCAGTCATAACCAAGGCCACGGCCCTGTTGCTTCTCCCAGGGGTATTCGCAGTTGGCACTTTAGCTCTGAATAAGGGATGACAAGTTTTGCCCCTACCAAAATGTTCAAGCCACACAGGCCCATGGACAGTCATACACTCAGATCTCCAGGTATCATGAGTGCCTGGGGAACTGCTTCTCTTCTGAAAATGGCCACAGGAGTCATAGAAGCTTGGACTTATAGGGTCCTGCCGCCCTCACCCTCGGAGCAATGAAAACCTATGAGCATTCTCTTAAGCACAACCCTCCCAGAGTCAGCTGTCCTTGGTAAGAACTTGCTTCTCCCCAGAAAGAAGAACAACCTCCTTAGTGCCCCAGGATGCCAAGGAAGATACTCCCTCCCATGGCATTTTCCAAGAAAGTCTAAAGTATTCTGGGGAAATAACCATGGCTGCATTTCCTGTTCTTCACCCCCACGACAGTCATGGGGTTTGTTCCTACATCTGGGAGCCACAGAGCTTCCTCCCTCCCCAGGGGATTCCGTTTCATTTTGCCAAGCCCCAGAATTGTCTTGGCTTTCCCCAGGGTGCCACAGAGGCCCACTCAGCAGGAAGGCTGTCACAACACATGCAATTCTCCAGCTGCTATGTCCACCTGGGGCTGCAGACAGAATGAGAGCCATGGGGGTCGAGTGGAAAGCACAGCCCATCTTTCTCAGCCGAGGTGTTTCTGATTACAGCATGCGGGACTCCAAATGAGCCATGGTTGTTCCAGCCGTCATAGGCGGCTCTGCTTAAGGCCTGGCTCTTGTGTCACCTACCAGGTCTTCCAGGGCTGACATGCAGCTGCCGAAGCCCCTTGGGGATGGGGGAACTCTTGCCCTGTGTGTCTCTGTTGGGAATCTCTTCACTGCAGGGCCTGATCATTTGGCCCTTGATATATTTCAAAGTAAAACCAAAAATTTGCTTTGGAGAGGACTATAAAAAAAGTATAGGGAGTGTGTGTAGGGGTGTGGGGGTGTGGGTGTGTGTGTGTGTGTGTGTGTGTGTGTGTGTGTGTGTGTGTGTGTATTATGGGCTGACTTGTGTTCTCCCAAAATGTAGATGTTAAAGTCCTTAACCCCAGTTCCCCAGAATGTGACTGTATTTCAAATTAGGACCTTTACATTGGTAATTAAAGTTAAATGAGGTAATTGGGTGGCCCTAGACCAATGTGACTGGTGTCCTTATAAGAAGAGGAGATTAGGACACAGGCATACACAGGCAATTAGGACATAGATATACACAGAGGGACAACCACGTGAAGACACAGGTGGGAGATGGCCATCAACAAGCCAAGAAGAGAGGCCTCTTCCCACGTCCTGATCTCAGATCTCCAGCCTTCAGAGTTGGGAGAAAATACATTTCTGTTGTTTAAATCATCTAGTCTATGGTACTGTGTATGGCAGCCCTAGCACACTGATAGAGCATGTATGTTAAGTGTTATCTCAAATCTTGTTTGTTCGTGACCAGATATATATCAACGTTAACTGCTTTTCCTACACCAACAACCCTTTTGGAGTCGAGGAAATCCTTTTCTAAGCCATCCTCTCAAGGCACTCGGTAGCACTTTAGGTTTTCATTACAAAATGACGTTTTTGTTTCTGTGAGAGGTCACTTAGTATTATAGACTCTAGCTCCATCCAGGTTGCTGCAAAATTCATGATTTTGTTCTTTTTTATGGTTGCATCGTGACTACCACATATTCTCACTCATATAGTGGACCTTGATCATCCAATGCACTACTATAAGAAAATGACTGACAGTGTTGGGAAACTATGGGGGGGAGATGGGACTAATGGTAGTAAACATCTATCTGGAGATGGGGAGACACCAAGTATCAACAAGGGGGCCTGAATGAAGCATATTTGTATACTTAACCCTTGACTGTACCCCACAATATCAAAATAAAAAATATCGATTATAAAAAAAAAAAAAAAGAAAACAAGTGGATGATAAAGAACGACAAATATATGGACTTTGCAGCAACCCGGATGGATTTGGAGTCTATCACACTCAGTGATTTATCACAGAAACAAAGAACAGAGTTCCATATGTTGTCACTCATAAGATGATCTTGAACAATTATAATGCTATAAGAAAGTGACTGGCAGTAATGGGAAACTGTTGGGGGGGTGAATTGGCAGTTGAGGGAAACTGCTAGGGGAGGGAGGGGCATACTTCATTAACAAGGGTATCTGCATGATCAATGTTTGTATACCTAACCCTGAATTGTACCCCACATCTTTACAATAAAAATTTTGTAAAAGTTAAAAAAAAAAAAGGAACAGAATGACAGATACACGGATGAATCACAAATGCATTATGCTAGCTGAACGAAGCCAGAGGTAAAAGGCTACATACTGTATAATCTATTTACATGGCATTCTAGAAAAGGAAAAATTATAGGGACAGAAACAGATCAGTGGCTGCCAGGAGCTGAAGGTGAAGAGCAGCGATTGACTACAAAGAGACACAAAATATTTGGGGGGACACTATGGAAATAGTCTATCTTGATAGCAGTGGTGGTTACATGGCTATGCATTTGTCAAAACTCATGGAACCTGAACTAAAAAAGATAAATTTTACCGTATGTAAATTGCATGTCAATAAAGTTGATGAGAAACAAAGGAGAAAAAAAACCAAAATGACGTTTTTCTTCTTTCCACACTGAACTCCTGAGCAGGACCCTTTGCTTGTATATTCTTAGTGGAGTGGTTGAGGGGATAGCAAAAAAGAGAGGGGTGGGGGAAGGAACAGGTTTCATCCAGAAAGGAGTGAGTAATATTTTCCATGAGCTTACTTTACCCCTAAGAAAGAAAGAAACATGGACTAGACAGGAGGAACTCTAAGCCCGTGTTCCCAAAGCCAGCAGAATCCTCAGAGGGTGAGGCAGCCCAGAACCTCAGCTCCGTGAAGAAAGAGCACGCTTCACAGACGCCTCCCTCTGCTCTCCGCCTTCTGGGTTACGTCGAGCCTCTTAGCAGCTAATTGTGAGTGTCATTAAGGTTGTGTCCCATTTCATGAAACATACTTTATGATTCAATCTTTGTACATGGAAAGTTTAATATTTTCCTGCTGTTTTTAACATCGCTGAAGTTTTTACTGTGTATGATTACATTTAATAAATGTATCAGAACAAACTAGGAACAGGTTTCCTTCCCCCTTTTTAAACAAATTGAGGGCAGATTTTATTAATTTGAAGAAGAAGAAACAGATGAAGTCAATCTTACCTTCTTCGTTAGGAGATACCAATTAAAAATAGAGAGACTGACCCGCCAACCAGGAGGAGGAACTGTGTCTTGGCGTTGCATTGACTTTATGTCTATATACCCCCACCATCCTGGTGGTGGAGAGCCCATATGGGAGGGGGGCTAGGTGTATGGAGAGTCACTGCAATCTTTCCTGGAAGGAAAGGTGAGATCTGGGTTGGGTCTTCTGAATCCAGAATTCAGGGTCCAGCAGAAATAATGACAAGTAGTCCTGCCCCGCCACCCTTTGCTGCTGTCCTATACTCTTGGGCCTGCACTAGGGAGAATGGGAAGAAGGGAGTTCTTTTACAGATTCCGTCACCAAATGCATACCAGTGCATGTTAAAGTTCCCTACGTCTCAGGTGCTATGCTAACCATTATGAACCACAACCATGGTTCTGTCCTCATGAGAGAGACAGGCATTGGCCAGGTAGACAAATATAATAAGTAATTAAAAATTTGTAGCAAGTTTCAGAAAGGAAAAGACCAGGAATTCTGTGAGAAAACAAATAGCAAGAGTGACATCCTCCAATCTGAA